AGCTTGTTCATACGCTCTCAAATAGCTGTCTACCCGGGATAAAAAAACATTTTTTCAAAAAAGGGGAAGGATTATATCTAATATATACAAAGGGTTGTAAACATAACAGAATACTTACTGCATTGCTTTTAGGGACACATACCGTTAATGCTGCGATAAGCTGCCTCTGATATGAATGTAATGATCTTGGTTAACATACACGTTTTCGTAAAACATAAAAATTAAAATTGCATTACTTTTTTCTTTTCAAGGGCTACCTGGATTCATGTCAAAGTGTGAAGTATCTACAACCTGACTGACTGAGTGTAAGACTTGTGTCTGAGTGTTTTACCCTGTTTTTTCTGCACCTCTCTTACAAAAAACACAGCGCTGTGATGAGGAACATGTGGTATAGGCTCTGTTTTAACCATCTAAATAATTACCCCCAATAAATAACTCTGGACCATCGCAGGATTATCTTTCCCAGGGGTCTCCTTTGAAACTAAATATCTGGCCAACTCTGGTCTAGCTGTATGTACCATTGTGTGTTTTTATTCAGTATATAACATTACAAACTGCCAACTCCTACTCTCTCCTATTTTTTACTCTATTTAATATACAAATCACTACTATACTTTCTATGTACCATTTTGTGTTTTATTCATCTGACACTACATAATGATGGTGTCTTTTTAAAAACCAGCTGTTTCACACATTAACTCAGACCTAACCAACGCTTCTGACTGGTTAACCTTTCACCTTTCACTAGAACTGTCAAATCGAGTTTGATGAAAACCGGTATCTATACTGTGTGTCAGGTCATAGTAAACTGAAAAAACCTTAGAAAAAATCTAAGTCCAGTTAATTTTTTCTAAGGTTTTTTCAATTTGTTTTGGAACAAATCCTGGTTAATGTATGTGGAATTTGCCTATTAGATGTGTAATATTCATAATGTAAGACAGATTTATTGGTCTGTAGCCATAATGGTGAGACTGTGCTATGTTTGATTAAAGATAAACTTCTCTGTTTTTCCAGAAACACAGATGAAGAGGGGAAATTGCAAAAAACAAGGCTATGCATTTGTCTCTGGTTCAAAAGGTGCACTTATCATTGATATCAGTGAATGCAGAATTTTCTTATTTTTGTTTGACATATAAAACTAGAAGGGGCACAACCACACAACTAATGTATGTTATCCAACTGTGGATTAAAATCAAATAATTTTAAGTGAAATGTTATTGTCTTTGAGGTTCTTTCCTTATATGTTTTTGTACAGTTATTTTTAACTGCATATTAATATTTTGATGATTTTAATGAGTTTTCATTAACGTAATTATTCCTGTGGGAACGGACTATTCTTACAAAAATAAACAATTTCCATATTAATGGAAACACTCAGAAAATCTTCATACCTCAAAAATTATCACCGTATCGTCAAACAAGGAAGTTAAAAAAAAAAAACCTCTTTCGACCCGGCGCGAGTTTTCATCTTCGCAATATACGATCTTCAGCAGTGACGTTGCGGCAGAACGGGGCGGGCAGAGTGATCTGGCGCCGGGAGATTCGAGCCTTGATCGCGGTTCAGGCTGAGTTAACTCCGTTGTGTGAGCTGGAAGTATCCGTTAGACCCAACACAGTCAGGGCTGTTTGGTCGGTTTTTCCGTGGAGCCATGTTATTACTTCGTGCAGTCTTCGAGAGTGGGATCACTGTCTGTTAAAGCTTCACCCCCAGACAGGTAGTGTATGTGCTTCTCATCGCGCTGCTGCAACCCGAGCACAGCCAAGTCGGTCAGTTAATAAGCTAGTCGCGCTAACGAGCCAACCAAGCGGATTCATTTTGTAAACATTGTTTGGAGTAAAAGCGCCATGTTTAATATCGGCAGTAGGCATTTATTTATGGACCTCAGTGAAAAAATAATGTAAGGCGTGAATCCCATGTTGACATTCAGCACAAATGCGAGCTAACTTTAGCTCAAGCGTCCGTGGTTACCAGGCGATCAGAACAGAGAATCTATTTCTTCGTTATTTTAAATGTTGATTATATGATAATAGGCTAAAAATCAGGTTGTCCAAAGTCCAACAGCTACTGTTATCTATTTTTGCTCGGAGGCCTCGATGACCTCGGGCTCTAGTTTAGTGCTTATGCGGAGAATGCGCCACCAGCCCGGTGAAGCGCAACGGAAGGTGTTTAGCTTAGCAGAAAGCTTATCGGGACATATAGGAATCATAAAGGGAGCTTACTGGACAGGTGACAGTCTGTCAACGGGACACTGTGCTAATCAACGTTAGCTAGCTGGTTAGCACAGCATGTTGTGTAGCGTGGAACCAGTTGGAGCAGAGTGTTGCTCCACCGCGAGAACACCTGTTCGGGTAGCAGCTGGTCGTCTGGTAAAGATGTGGTTATTTATTACCTCTCTATATGAAATAGTATCCTTACTACCAAGTGTTCAGAGTTTAACCATTGTAAATAAGTCTGTCTCCAGTGAGACTCCTGCAGCTCCAGGTTATACTGAGGGCATCTTATTACTTTCACATGGGGGAGGAACTTATTGTGCCCAAGATTACAATACACAGTCAAGTGACCTTAAAGTATTATTTTAAGTATTTGACAAGGTCAGATTTTCTGTGCAGAATCAACCTACTTAAGAGTACTTAAGAGTACTATGACTGTGAAGTGTGTCATTATCATATCTGCATAAAAATGGGACCAGGCTTTGAGAGGGTGTGTTAAATGTCAGCAGGAGCAGTGGTTAAAAACTATAATAATAATCTTAAGGTTCCACAGTATTGTCCAAAGTGTAAGCAAAGACTTGATTATCCTGCAATTAAAAGTGTTTATACATTAATAAAAGTGCTGTACTGCAGGGACAGTAATGCAGAATTAGACACATTAAAGAGCTTTAGTCAAAATATAAAAAATAAATCTAAATTTTAAGTAAAAGTTTTCCAAAGGCAGATACATAGCTAGATAACCTACCATTCTTGGGTAAGCTCAAGTTTTGATGAAGGCTACTGACAACCTCAGAGTGAGATCAGGAGAATATGGAGTGAGGGGGTCACTAATGTAGGATGGAGCAAGGATGCAAATGGGTTTATAAACTAACAGTAAGATTAGAAACTGACTGGCAGCCAGTGGAGAGCAGCTTAAACAGTAGAGGTATGTTCATATGTCTTGGACCCCGTTAACAGCCACACTGCTGCATTTTGCACTTTAGACTAATCCGAGATTATTGGCCAGAAACAAAGGCGGTTACAAGGTGAAACTGTGCTGGCAGAGGAAGTCTAACCTGTTCTTTCCTGCTGTGCAGATGGAGGCCATGGAGGTGGACTCCCATGCGGAGACAGAGGGAGGAGGCAGCAGACAGCCAGATGTTACTGCTCCAGCTCCAGGCCAGGCTGACGACGCCAACGGACCACATGTCATTTCAGACTCTGGCAGCAGCACTGAGGTGGATGAAGATGATGATGACAATGAAGCAGGACGAGCAGCAGCTCGGGCACCTTCCAGGCTCCCTGCAACCTGGGCCTTTAGCCAGAGGGCAATAGGCAGGGCTGCAGCTATGCAACCTGCAGCTCAGGGGGCACCCATACGCAGGAGACTCAGGTACTCCTCAGAAAAGGTTTGGTTTGTGCTGCATTTATTTTACTTCACTGTTTGTAATGCATACTGTTTGGAACAGTGTAGTAAGATACTAAAGTGCCTATGATCGATGTCTGTATAATATTGCATCAGATAATCGTGAAAATCTGCTAGTGATGAACTGCAGAGTGATCTAAAGATGGCAGTTTAGAATCTTCAGAACAGTTTTGACACATTTATAACAACCAGTGCTTTGAAATGGTTAGAAGCTTTTTGGTCAAACAGCAGACAGAGCCGGTCAGAAACCAGCTGGTGGGCACAGTGGAGCGTTTAGCAGCTCCAGAGACAGATGTTTCCCTCAGGAGGTGGTGGAGACCAAACCCAGATCTAACTGAGCAGGAGCACTGGGCTG